AGGAAAATCCCCCCTTAATGCAGACCTAAACGTTAGTCTTGTTAAAAAGTACGCACATAAATTGAATTTCAAACACACAATATCCGTAGATATTGGCACAGATCTTAGAAATCTTTGCTAATATTTATAATTCATTCTCTTTATTTAAGTTTAATTGCCCCTCTTCCAACATCATATGCTTGTAATGATTCTCAGTGAAACCCACTATTCAGAATCACTGTAACTTTACTCTTTTATAACTCTTTCACATTATTATCTCTTTCTTAAATAAATATAATATCTGTAAAAATTAATATAGAACTTAGATATTTCTTTTTTATTTTAATATTTATTAATTTAATATTCTTTTCTAATTCAAGTTCAAATTTATAAGCTAATTTAATGATTAATAAATAAACTTGTAATAATATATATATATATAATTAATAGTAATACTTTTTTTATAATTTTGTATCATTAATTATTTTTTTGATTTAGTATTTAATTATAAATTCCAGAAAATATTTATTAATAATGAAGATATATAGGTTTGTATTATAATAATATTCATATTTTTATTTATAATTAGCAAAATATTTAAGTTTTTATTTAATAATTAGACAATCATAAATCTGACTTGATAACATGATCAAATAACTTAATAGAACATGCAACTGTTATTTTTTATTTGTAAAGATTATTAATGTAGTAATTTTTGATAAATTTGATAAAACTACTTCAAGAATATTCAAAAATTTTATTATAATTAATAAGATTTTGTCCAGCAACTAATAATATTAGTGAGATATTTTATATATATTTCTTTTTAATAATTCCTAACTCTGATTTTAAAATTAATTTTTAACATTATCTAAATGGGAAGAATTTTCTTGGTACTCTTGAAATAATTATTTTTTACATATTTGAACTTTAATTAGTTAATTATGAATTATATAATAAATAAATATATATAATTGATAACTATCACTGATGGTAGCAAATAGATTCATTTAATAAATTGATATTATATAAAAAATTAATAAAACTGAAGTTGGTTTTATAGAATGAAAGAATAACTTATTTTATTAATTTATAAAGAGTTATTTTAAATATATATTTTATAAAAATATAAAAAAATTTAAAGTTAATTAAAATTTTATTGATATAACTAAATTGCATTATTATTTTAAGCTAATAAATTTGTTGAATTATAATATAATTATATCAAAATTTAAAGTAATTTCATAAAAATATAAAAAATAAAATTTAATGTCAAACTGAAATTTAAAGTAAATATAAATATTATTCTTAGGCCTTTAGCCTACTAGCCAACAGTTGTTATAAAAAAAACATTGAGCATAAGAAACATAACAAAGAAAATATAAGTTTGATATGTTTATATCATAAATATAAAATAAAGAAAAGCTAAGATTATAATCCAATTATTCTAAAAATTCTCCTAGTTTTCCCAACTGGTTCCAAATATTGACTTCCGAATTCTTTTTAAGGTTTAATACGCACCACCGAACTGTAATAGTGAAGTCCTCGTCTTCATCAATCAACATAGCTTCCTCGTTTTCATCAATCAACATGGCTTCCTCGTCTTCATCAGTCAATATAGCTTTATTTTCCTCCTCTATTGTTGCGATTTGCATTTTAAGAGTTCCACTCTCTTGCCATTTTTCAATATTCGTATGGAAGAATAAAAAACTTGGTAAGGAAGCATATTCGATATCGAACGCGACAATATCTTGTTGAAAAAGTGATTTTCCAACATCAATTTTCACAGATTCAAGATCATGTGTAAGTTTCAATTCTTCAAATCCAATGTTAACTGATATATCACGAGTATTAGGATCGAAATATCCGATTTCACTTGGGCAACCGATTAACATCCATCGAAGCTTATAAGGCCTCCTTGCACTTATTCATTATAAAAAAGCCAAAGTTTTAATATTTATCAAAAATTTTATTAAAAATATTGTTCTTTACCTGTCAAAATTTGATTTATCATCTGCCTGAATATAATCTTGTCGAAAATCATGCCAGCTAACCGAAAATCCAAATTTAGTTTTCATACTAAATTTCACATAGACACTTTCTAACTTTTCTTCACTGCAAGTCACTACATTGCCAAACAATTGATAAGTATTACTTTTCAATTGACTATCATATTCAATTCGCTGATACTCAGAGTCATAATCCAAAAGTGATGTCGTGTTGAACATTAACACAAAATTCTCCTTTATAAAAAGATTTTCGATCTCGTGTTGTTGATTTATATCGAGAATTTTATATAATGGTATGACGACGCGCTTTACAATATACCACTCAGATTCTTGATGTAGTACTGTGTCAAGCCATTCAGAGATTTGGCTAATTAAAATAAACACATATTAGCATACATTTATAAAAATGTATCGCTGACAATTTAAATACCTTAGTCTTTTCGGATAACCGTCCATTGCTATCATATAAGAGGAATCGAATGATTGATCCAATTCTCTCAAGTTTTTTAATAAAGGGTCTTTTCAAAAAAATTTAGATCAGATTTATGTATTTTATGTAAAATTTGTTATAAAAATAATAAAAGGACCTATTTCAGAAAAATCATCAAATTTCTTTGTTTCGTCCTCCATCTCTTGAGAAGATAATTGAACATTCCTTTGCAATTTATTTCCGAAGATTATTTTTGTGTGAAAATAATGACCAAATATTTGAAATACATGCTTTAAATTTTCAATTGGTGTATTCGATTTCAAGGCTTTTTGAATTGATAAACATAAATTCTCAGTTGGCTTTAAAGTTTGAAAATCAAATACGATCGATAGTTGTTCACTTAAGATTTCAAAATAAATATTGTTTGTCTTCGCTTCATCGTATGCTTCATTGATAAATGATTCCTGAATAGAGTTCTGTTCCTTCGTTATTCCTTGTGATAGTGAGGATAATTCAGATGTTGTAGTCCGTCTCAATAAAAAACTTTTACCAGTGGTAATTTCAAGCAAGGGCGTTGAATCATTTTTGATTGCTGGCAGGGAAGATTGTATAATTTGAAATTCTTGATCAGTTATTCCATGAAAGAGTTTAATTTTTTCGTTTTGAATATTTATGTCTTTTAACTCAATATTATTGAATAAATTTGAGAGTTTACTTAGAATAAATCGTGCTCGAGTGTTCTTGTCTTTTGCTGACAGTTGGAACCATTTTAAAGCCTCAATTTTACTCTTAATAACACCTTTTCCATTAAAGTGACATAATGCAAGTATAAATCGTGCTTGAGAATCACCAGACTCTGCTGATTTCAAATACCATTCGAATGCTTTTTGTTCATCTTTGATTGTTCCTTTTCCATCTGTATACAAATTGGCAAGATTATATTGTGCTTGAGGAACGCCAGACTCTGCTGATTTCAAATACCATCCGAATGCTTTTTGTTCATCTTTCACTATACCTACTCCTAATTCATAAAATAAAGCAAGGTCAAATTGTGCTTGAGGATATCCAGACTCTGCTGATTTTAAAAACCATTCGAATGCCTTTTGCTTATTTTTTTTTATCCAACCCTCGTCATTGTATAATTTTCCAATTAAATATTGTGCTACAGCATCTTTATGGGCTGCTGATTGTTGATAATATTGCAAGGCTTGATCATAATCTTTGTCAACATTAATGCCAAAGTGGTAAATAAAGCCTAGAATTTTTCTATATCGTATATTATCTCGTAAAAATTGTATTTTGTTGAAAGACATAAGAGATTTTATTGTAGTGAGTTTCTCTAAATATTCTTTATCGTTTTCGTTATATTTGAAGAGAGTTAATAAATCATCCAATATAGATTTTCCCAGCTGTTCAGTGTTAATTTGTTGCGATTGATTCTTGATTTCATCATCATTATCACTAGATAAATTAAGATTGTTTTCATTTTCAACTGTATTTGTTGTTGCTTTGAATGATGATGATAAATTATAATCCATTTCTTCCGAAAAATTTACTTTATACTTATTTATATTTGCATCTTTTGGTTTATGTGAAACTGATAATAATATATGTGTCGTATTTACAAGACTTATAGCTAGTTCGAGGCGTTTATTTTTTAATTTGAGGGATTCATTTTCGACTTTGAGGAGTTCATTTTCGACTACGAGGCGTGCATTTTTGACTTCGAGGTGTTCGTGTGAAACTGATGCTAAACTTTTATTTAGTTCAATTTTGGATCCGAAGCGTTCATTTTCGACTTTGAGGCGTTCATTTTTAACTTCGAGGCGTGCATTTTTGACTTCGAGGTGTTCGTGTGAAACTGATGCTAAACTTTTATTTAGTTCGATTTTGGATCCGAAGCGTTCATTTTCGACTTTGAGGCGTTCAATTTCGACTTTGAGGCGTTCAATTTCGACTTTGAGGCGTTCATTTTTGACTTCGAGGTGTTCGTGTGAAACTGATGCTAAACTTTTATTTAGTTCGATTTTGGATCCGAAGCGTTCATTTTCGACTTTGAGGCGTTCAATTTCGACTTTGAGGCGTTCAATTTCGACTTTGAGGCGTTCATTTTTGACTTCGAGGTGTTCGTGTGAAACTGATGCTAAACTTTTATTTAGTTCGATTTTGGATCCGGGGCGTTCATTTTCGACATTGAGGCGTTCATTTTCGACTTTGAGACGTTTTTGTTTTTGTTCGTTTCTTTCTGTTAATCCCTTTTTTTTGTTAATTTCGGACATTTTGTGTTTGAAATTCAATTTATGTGCGTACTTTTTAACAAGACTAACGTTTAGGTCTGCATTAAGGGGGGATTTTCCT